CCTTATTGCCGAACAACCATGAGCTCCCAATTGGTCAGAACTATTCCACCAGGGTGGAGGCTGCATCAACCACCTGGCCAACCTGCATCTGCAGGCCCCATACACCTACCTCTCTCTGGGCTTCTATTTCCACCACCAAGATGTGGTGCTCGAGGGTGTGGGCCACTTCTGCGAGTTGGCGAGTTGGCGGAGAAGAAGCGCCAGAGCACTGAGCATCTCTTAAAGGGGCAAAACAAGCACGGTGGCCGCATTCTCTTCCAGGACGTGCTGAAGCCTCCCCAAGGTCAGTGGGGCAAAACTCAGGACATCATGCAAACCTCCCTGGCCTTGGAGAGGCACCTGAACCAGACCCTTTTGGAGCTGCAGGCCCTGGGTTCTACCACGCAGACCCTCAGCTCTGTGACCTCCTGGAGAACCACTTCCTGGATGCGGAGGTGAAACTGATCAAGAAGATGGGCCACCACCTGACTAACATCCGCAGGCTGCCGGCCCCCAGGCTGGGCAAGTATCTCTTCGAAAGGCTCACCTTCAAGCACAACTAGGAGCCTTTGGAGCCCAGAGGCCTTTCAGAGGCCCCTCTGCATCCCCGGGTGCCTGGCTTTTACCTGAGCCTCTTCCCGAAACTACTAGCCATTCTTTTAACCACCCTGAAGCCTCACCCATGCACTGGATCGAATGAAACAATAAAGCTTTTTGCAGAAAAAAATAATCAATGTAACATCATATTAACAAACCACAAAAGAAATATTGCATGAGCATCTCAATAGACTCAGAAAAATCAGTTGGCAAAATCCAACATCCATTCCTGATTTAAAACGCTCAAACTAGAAATAGGACCACCCTCAGTCTGATAAAGAACTACAAAAAAACCTACATCTAACATCACGCTTAATAAAGAAACAATGACCCTAGCTGGTTTGGCTCAGTAGGTAGAGCGTCAGCCTGCAGACTGAAGGGTCCCGGGTTCGATTCCAGTCAAGGGCAGCTTTCGGGTTCGATCCCCGGTAGAGGGCATGCAGGAGGCAGCCAATCGATGATTCTTTCTCATCATTGATATTTCTATCTCTCCCTCTCCTTTCCTCTCTGAAATCAATAAAAATATGTATTTTTAAAAATAATGAAACAATGAATGCTTCCTCTCACCACTTTTACTTAATATTGCACTGGACATTACAACCAGTGCAATAGACAAATAAAATAAAACTCGTCTATATTGAAAAATGTTCTTAATTTACAAACAACATAATCAATTATGTGGAAATGCTGTGGAATCTCTGGAAACCTAATAGAACTAATATGAGTTTAGAAGGTTGCATGATATGCAATCAATTTACAAACTTAATTGTACTCTATACTAGTAAAGAAAAATCAGAAATTTAAATTTTTAAAAGTCCATTTACACCAATATCAAAAATATTTTAAGTACTTAGAGATAAACCTGACAGAAATGTGAAGATCTGTATACTGAAAAATAAAAAGTATTGACGGGAAAAATTAAAGAAGACATAAATAAGTAGGGATATGCCATATTTGTGGGTTGGAAGACTCAACATTTAGAACTGTCAATTTTCCCCCACTTGATCTATTGATTCCATACAATCCTAATCAAAATCCCACATATTTTTGTGAAAATTGACACACTGATTGTAAAATTTCATGTGGAAGTGCAAAGAAGGTCAAATAGCCAAAATATCTTGGAAAAAGAACAAATTTGGAGGGCTAACACACTATCTGATTTCAAGATGCATTATAAAACTACAATAATCAAGACAGTGAGTTATTAGTGTGAAGACAGACAAATCAGTGAAACAGAATTGAGAGTCCAGAAATAGATCCACATACATGTGGCCTCTAATTTTTGACAGAGGTACAATGGCAATTCATAACTCAACAAATTATGCTGGAACAATTGGATGTCTATCTGCAGAAAAAACTTTAATCCATACCTTGCTCCATATTAAAAATTTCTTTCAAAATGGATCATAGACCTAAATATAAAACCTCAATTATAAAGCTTCTACTGAAAAAAAAAAAACACAACACACCTTGACCTGGGATTAAGGCAGCAATTTCTTAGATACAACAAAATCACAATTTAGAAAATAACAAATTGATCAGCTCGACTTAAATACCTGCTCTTTGAAAGATACTATTAAGATAATGAAAATACAAGAAACAATCCGGAAGAAAATATTTTCACAGCGTATGTCAAATAAAGGTCTTGTATCCCCCCTGTACCCTCTTCCACCTGCATCCAACTCACTCCCCCCACCTTGAAATTACCACATTGTTGTCCACGTCCATGAGTTCTTTCTTTTTTCTACTCAATCCTTCTAATCCTTCCACACACCAATACCCTCATCCCCCCACCCATCCCACCTCATCCCCGCCACCAGAGCTGTCTGCCTGCTCTTTATCTATGAGTTTGTCCCTATTTTTGTTAGTTCAGTTTGTTCATTAAATTCCACCTATGAGTGAAATTATATGGTACTTGTCTTTCTCTGACTGGCTTACTTCACTTAGTATAATATTTTCCAGGTCCATCCATGCTGTCGCAAAGGGTAAAATTTTCTTCCTTTTTATGACCAAGAACTATAAAAATTTAATGACAACAAAACAAGCAAGCAATCTATTTTTTAAATGGACAAAAGGTGAACCCTTGCCCTAACCAGTTTGGATCAGTAGATAGAGCATCGGTCTGCGGACTGAAGGGTCCCAGGTTCAATTCCAATCAAGGGCATGTACCTTGGTTGCAGGCACATCCCCAGTTGGGGGGGGGGGGGTAGGAGGCAGCTGATCGATGTTTCTCTCTCATCGATGCTTCTAACTCTCTATCCCTCTCCCTTCCTCTCTGTAAAAAATCAATGAAATATATTTTTTTAAAAAGGTGAACCCTTTACCAAAGAACATATATGCATAGTAAATAAGCACTTGTAAAGATGTTCAACATCATTGTTAATTAGGGAATTCAAAGTAAAACCACATTGAGAGACAACAATATAACTGTTAGAATGATTAAAACTTTAAAAATCTAACCATACCAAGTGGTGGTGAGAATATGGAGGAACTGGAACTCAAGTATATTGTTGGCATGCATGTAAAATGATACAACCACTTTGACAGCAAGCTTAGCAGTTTCTTAAAATGTTACACATACACCTTTCTTTACAATCTAGTCATTACACTCCTAGGTACTTTACCCAGAAGAAATAAAAGTACCTGTCCACACAAAGACTTATACACAAATGCTCACAGCAACTTTGTAATAGCCAGAAACTAGAAACAAATCCAACTGTCCATCAAAAGGTGAATGGGTAAACAAAATGTATTCCGGCCATACAATGGAATACTACTCAGCATAAAAAAGGAATGAATTATTGATGCATGTTAGAATATGGCAAGGTTGCGGGTTTGATCCCCGGTCAGGGCACATACAAGAATCAACCACTGAATGCATAAATAAGTAGAACAACAAATCAATGTTGCTCTCTCCCCTCTCAAAATAAAAAGAAGAAAAAAAGAAAAACAAAATATTCTCGGTGAGGATTAACAACAATTTACTATTAACTTTGAGTGGCTTTTTTTTTTCATGTTTTTTTTCCTTTGAAGTTTTTTTTTAAATCTTTATTGTTTAAAGTACTACATATGTCCCCTTTTTTCTCCCATTGACCCCTTATAACCCCCCCCCTTTTTTCTTTTCTTGTTTTTGTTTTTGTTAATCCTCACCAGAGGATTTTTTTTTTTTCATTGCTTTTTTAGAGAAAGTAGAAGGGAGGGAGAAAGGGGGAGAGAGAAAGAGAAACATCAGTGTGAGAAAGACACATTGATTGGTTGACTCCCACACGTTCTTGACTGGGACTCAAACCCTCAACCTTTGGGTGCGCCGGCCCACACTCTAACCACCGAGCCAGGGCAGCCAGGGAAACTATGAGCTTTGATAGCTATTCCTGGTTTATTGGGGGGGAAGAGGGATTAAGTTCTTACCATTTTTTTGTTTGTTTGCTAATCCTCACCCAAGGATATTTTTCTTTGATTTTTAGAGAGAATGGTAGGGAAAGGGAGAGACAGAGAAACACTGATGTCTTTTCTATTGGTTGCCTCCCTCACGCGCCCCTACGGGCGGGGATCAACCCAAGGTACGTGACTCAAACCCAAGACCCTTCAGTCCCCAGCCTGATGCTCAAACCCGTGACCCTTCAGTCCGCGGGCTGATGCTCTATCCACTCAGCCAAGCCTGCTAGGGCAAGTCATTACCATTTAGACATACATACTGAAACATTTACAGACAACAACAACAAAAAACAGATTTGATTAGATTCAAAATAACCTGAGGTCAAGGAGGGAAGGGGGGGGAGACCGTAAATGAAACAAGAGTGGCCATAAGTTGGTCATAGTTGACTCCGGGTGATAAACACATGGAGATTCATTATATTATTCTCCCTGGGTTTGAAACTCATATAACAGAAGGTTTTAATTACCTCTATAATCTCCACCCAGTCTTCTTCTTTTTTTTAAGAGTAACTTTATTAGTTTTAGAGAGAGGAGCATCAATGTGAAAGAAAAACATTGATCAGTTGCCTCTCGTACACCCTTGTCCGGTGACAGAACCGCAGCCTGGACATGTGCCCTGACCTGGAATCGAACCCCAGTCAAGAGCTACGAAGGGCCCTCGCTGGTTTGGCTCAGTGGCTAGAGCATCGGCCTGCAGACTCAAGGGTCCCAGGTTCGATTCCGGTCAAGGGTACGTGCCCAGGTTGCGGGCTCGATCCCCGGTGGGGTGGGGGAGGGGGCAGCCAATCAATGGTTCATCATTGATGTTGCAATCGCTCCCTCTCCCTCTCTGAAATCAATTTAAAAAGTAAATAAAAGAGCTACAAACATCAGCGAGTTTCTAGGAAGAACCCTGCCCGCGGTCCGGCCTGCCCCACCCCCACCCGCGTGCAGGGATTCCCAGGCCTAACCCAGCCTCTCCGGTCCCGGTCCCGGAGGGGCAGGCTTACCTGGGCCCCGGTGCCGCTTCTCCATCCAGATGTAGCAGTTGTTCTGGGCCACCCCGGTCTGCGAGTCCAGGAAGGGCAGCCGGACACTGCGCTCGGCACACAACCGCGAGTTGTAGCTCCGACAGTGCTCGATCGCCTCTTTGTAGAACTGGTCGCCGAGCCTGGCGGGCGACAGAGAGGAGGGTGAGGCCAGGGAACCCGACTCACAGCCCAGGGAGCGCCACCCATCCGCTGAGGAGGGTTTGCCGTCCAACCCGGTGTCGCCTCTCCACCGGTTCTGGTTCCTGGAAGGAACCCACCAGGAACCTTGGAAACCTCTTTCTCCAAGAACCCAGGGCCCCGAGCGCACACTGGGGGAATTAGTAAACCGAGACCTCATTTGAAACGGAGTCTGGAGCCTGGAAGTGAGAACCCTTAGGACCGAGCCGTCCTAGACCCGCCGCCCTGGTCATCCCGGTGGCCGAAGCGCTCCCAGCCCCTCGACGCGCCGCTATGGCCTCCGCAGGAAGTGATGCCCGCGCTCCCTCCCGGAGGGGACGCCGCCCAGGCAGCCGCCACGCAGCCAATGGGAGGCGGACGCCGCCAGGAATGAGGAGTCACAGAACTTCCAACTTTCGTTTTTGCCAATTGAGTCTTCCTGGACAGCAGCCCCTCCCAAGCCCAGAAACGGTTCCTCTCCTTTGTTTCTCGGATTTGGACAAGAGTCACCATTAGAGAGCGACCATAACTGCCAGTTCTTGTGCTGTTCCCCAGAGAACCAACTTTGCTGGAGAAAGACCTGGACATTTGTTTCACCGAGAATGACAAGTCCCTGTTCTAGGAAGCACGCGGTTCCGTTTCCAAAGAGACTTAACTCTGGAACCACCCTGTGCATGGGACCTCCAGGAAGAGCCGGCTTCTAGAGCGACCTCATTAACATGCCCCAGGAGACACACTTTGTTCTCAGTGATTGCCAGCAAAGACAGTCTAGAACAGTGGTTCTCAACCTTCCTAATGCCAAGACCCTTTAATACAGTTCTTCATGTGGTGGTGACCCCAACCATAAAGTTATTTTCGTTGCTACTTCATAACTGTAATTTTGCTATTGTTATGAATCGTAATGTAAATATCTGATATGCAGGATGTGTTTTCATTTGAACATAATTAAAGTATAGTGATTAATCCCCAAAACAATATGTAATTATATATGTGTTTTCCGATGGTCTTAAGCGATCCCTTTGAAAGGGTCGTTCGACCCCCAAAGGGGTCGCGACCCACAAGTTGAGAACCACTGGTCTAGAATGAACCCTACTCTCCAGCATAGATGCACAGATTCCCATTACAATAGACCAGGGGTCCTCAAACTTTTTAAACAGGGGGCCAGTTCACTGTCCCTCAGACCGTTGGAGGGCCGGACTATAGTTTAAAAAAAAACTATGAACAAATTCCTATGCACACAGCGGCGGCAAAAACACCCGGCGGGCCGGATAAATGTTTTCGGCGGGCCACATGTGGCCCGCGGGCCATAGTTTGAGGACCCCTGCAATAGACAAACTATCTAAATAAAAGACTTAGAAGGACAGAGGAAGAAGGACAGAGGAAACAATCCATGATGGATTAGGGAAGGAGGTGAAGAGGGGCATGCACCAGTCTTTTAAAACCACACACTTACAGAAAAATAACTTTCTGCCCTGGCCGTTGGGCTCAGTGGTTACAGCATTGGCCTGTGCACCAAAGGGTGGCAGGCTCGATTCCTGGTCAAGGGTACATACCTTGGATGCAGGTAATCAATCAATGTGTCCCTCTCATCTCTCTCTCTCTCTCCCCTCACCTCACTTTCTTCGACTCTAAAAATCAATGAAAAAAATATCCTCAGGCCTGGCCAGTGTTGCTCAGTGGTTGAGTGCCAAACTATGAACCAGGAGGTCATGGTTTGATTCCTGGTCAGGGCATGTGCCCAGGTTGTGGGCTCAATCCCCAGTGTGGGGCATGCAGGAGGCAATTAATCGATGATTTTCTCTCATCATTGATGTGTCTATCTCTCCCTCTCCCTTCCTCTCTGAAATCAGTAAAAATAATTTTTAAAGTATATTTTAATATTTTTTAATATATTATATATATACACATATATATCTGTAAATATATCCTCAGGTGAGGATAATAAAAATAAATAAATAAACAAAGCTCAATAGAGCTTTAAAAAAAAGAACTTTCTGATGATAAATAAAAGAAGCATTTAAAATAATAATAGTTGATTTTGAACTCAAAATAATCCAATTCAAAACCTAGAAAGATCTTTCTGGTTTTCTGATTAAGCACAGTAAATTGTATATTCCTGAATCTTTGGTATCCTTGGACATGTGGTAATGCTACTAATTTTAAGATAGTATCCTTTTCAAAGGCCAAAAATATAACATTTATAAAAACTGATCAAATGTAAGGCACATACCTAAAACTCATATCAAATAATATTGAAGGTCGAGAAAACCAAGATGGCGGCATAGGTAAACACCTGAAATTGCTGCCTCGCACAACCACTTCAAAAACACAACTAAAAGACAAAACTAACATCATCCAGAACCACAGGAAGGCTGGCTGGGTGGAAATTCTACAACTAGAAGGAAAGAGAAAAGCACACTGAGACTCAGAGGAGGTGCGAAAGTAAAGTGCAGAGGTACGGAGGCACACACAGAAAGGGCTGGCAACTGAGGACACGGTTGTCTTTTTCAATTGGGAGGGAGACATAAGCTCCCGATGGCCCCGACTCCAGTTCCAGGCGAGTCTCTGGGGACCCAGACACATACAGGGAGAAACTGGACTGTCTGGCAGCGGGCGGAACTCGAGGGCGGCTTTCTCTCAGAGGTGCTTGCAGCGATTAACTCGGGACACTGAGACCGGGGACCTCTTAGGGCAGGACTGAGGATTAGCCATAGCTGTTTGCTCCACCCTGTTGATTCCCTGAGACCCCGCCCCACCCAAGCTGTGCGCAGAGGCTTTTGCATATGAATGGCCTGGCCCTTTGCAATCTAAAATTACCTAACAAACTGCAGCTGGGTCAGAGAGACCCAGAACATCCAAAAGAAGGCCCAAAGGCTCCACAGCAGCTTGCATTGCTTCATAGCTGGTCCTCATCGGGGACCTCCAAATCCCAAGCAAAGAAGAGGAATCTGCAGATCTCTCCATAGCTCCTGCTGGGTAGCCTCAGGCAGAGGCTAAATTAGCACCTCCTTAGAGATCCAAATGCCAGTGTACCCAGTGGTCAGAGTGGGACCATCCATATTACAACTCCTCAGATCCATAAGGGACACACTCAGGGGGCAGACTCACTGAGCACCAAAGCCCCACTGAAGCAAGTCTTGCCCCATAAGGGTGTCTCCAGCACAGAAGTTCTCCCACTGCAGACACAGCTGATTCTCACAGCCAATTGGCCTGGAGGTCATTTCCTCCCAGTGATAACCTACAACAATCAAGGCTTAACTACAACAAGACTGTGCACACAGCCCACAAAGGGGTGCACCAAGAGTGTCCACCTCAGGTAATTGGGGAGGCTGAGCCACTGGGCCCTATAGGACACCTAGCACACAAAGCCACTCTATCAACACAGGGAAGCAGCCAAAATGCAGAGACAAAGAAACAGGTCACAAATGACAGAAATGGAGGAAAGCAAATGACTGGATATAGAGTTCAAAACCACGGTTATAAGGTTTTTCAAGAATTTTCTAGAATCCACCAATAAATTTAGTAAGACCCTCAATAAGTCTAGTGAGACCCTCGAGGATATGAAAAAGGACCAACTAGAAATTAAGCATACACTGACTGAAATAAAGAATATTATACAGAGATCCAACAGCAGACTAGAGGATCACAAGAATCAAGTCAAAGATTTGAAGTACGAAGAAGTAAAAACACCCAACCGGAAAAGCAAAAAGAATCCAAAAATACGAAGATAGTGTAAGGAGCCTCTGGGACAACTTCAAGCGTACTAACATCCGAATTGTGGGGGTGCCAGAAGAAGAGAGAGAGCAAGATATTGAAAACCTATTTGAAGAAATAATGACAGAAAACTTCCCCTACCTGGTGAAAGAAATAGACTTATAAGTCCAGAAAGCACAGAGAACCCCAAACAAAAGGAATCCAAAGAGGACCACACCAAGACACATCATAATTAAAATGCCAAGAGCAAAAGACAAAGAGAGAATCTTAAAAGCAGCAAGAGAAAAACAGTTAGTTACCTACAAGGGACATACAATTGACATACGATTGTCAGCTGATTTCTCAACAGAAACTATGCAGGCCAGAAGGGAGTGGCAAGAAATATTCAAAGTGATGAATACCAAGAACCTACAATCAAGATTACTTTACCCAGTAAAGCTATCATTCAGAATTGAAGATCAGATAAAGAGCTTCACAGATAAGAAAAAGCTAAAGGAGTTCATCACCACCAAACCAGTATTACATGAAATGCTGAAAGGTATTCTTTAAGAAGAGGAAGAAGAAGAAAAAGGTAAAGATAAAAATTATGCCGAAACCGGTTTGGCTCAGTGGATAGAGCGTCGGCCTGCGGACTGAAAGGTCCCAGGTTCGATTCCGGTCAAGGGCATGTACCTGGGTTGCGGGCACATCCCCAGTAGGAGATGTGCAGGAGGCAGCTGATCGATGTTTCTCTCTCATCGATGTTTCTAACCCTCTATCTCTCTCCCTTCCTCTCTGTAAAAAATCAATAAAATATATTTTTTTTAAAAAATTATGAACAACAAATACATATCTATCAACAAGTGAATCTAAAAATCAAGTGAATAAAAAATCTGATGAACAGAATAAACTGCTGAATATAATAGAATCAGGGGCATAGAAAGGGAGTGGACTGACAATTCTCGGGGGGAAAGGGGTGTGGGGGGTGCGGGAAGAGACTGGACAAAAATCGTACACCTATGGATGAGGACAGTTGGGGGAGGGGGCATTTAAGGGCAGAGGGTGGAGTGGGAACCGGGTGGAGGGGAGCTGTGGGGGGAAAAAAGAGGAACAACTGTAATAATCGAAACAATAAAGATTTAAAAATAATAATATTGAAGGTCAACTGTAATTGAAAATAATTCAATTAAATTTTCAAAGTTATAGCAATAATATTTGTTTTGCCTACCAAATTAATAAAGAGCAAAATTTTGAAATTTAAATCACACAA